ATGCACTGGGCAGCCGACTGCAGAGATATTTTTTTGTTGGCAACAGAGTTGCCTTAATGTCGGGTTTCTCAACCAGGGTTCCATGGAACTCTAGGGTTCCTCCAGAGGTTCCTAGGGGTTACTTGAGCAATGAGCACTTTCTGCCTCTCAGATATGTCCCCGCCAGGGGCGGACTGGCCATTTGGAAACTCGGGCACCCCTATTGCCCGGGGGCCTCATGAGTTGTCAGTCCACCCCTGGTCCCTGCTAACACTATCGCTCTTTTTAGCTATAATTCTTCCCAATGACCACAAAGGTGGTGAACAATCTTCCCACTGACCATCAATCAATGTATCATGAGTTGTACATGTAGTCAATTTTAGCAAGGGTTCCTTGAAAGTTATTTCAAGGGTTCCTCCATGTTGAAAAGTTTGAGAAAGCCTGCCTTAATGCAAAGTCCACTTTGAAACAGATCTTGCCATGCAAGTTTCCCTCCCAGTTTTCCCTTGTCCAGGCAATCTCCTTTTACAGATCACCTCCTGTTATGCTGGCCATACATGGATTGAAATTTGGCTGGTTTAGCAGGAACCAGCTGAATTTTGCTCCATGCATGAACAGTCTGGTTGTACAACAAACCTGTTGGGTTTTTCCTCCACGATTAGTGCTGCTGGCTAGTAGCCAGCAACACTGATCATTGTATTCTAACTGCGGGGAAGGCTTCCCCCTGTCAGAATACAATACCACAGCGGAAAGGCATCCCCCATCCACCTTGAATGTGTGAATGGGGGAATCAGCTCATGATCAATGTATAGACTGACTTAGTAGGTGTAAAATGAACCCATTAAAAAAAGTTAGATTTATACTTACCTTACCCCAGTCCTTCACATTAGTGGGCGAAAGGTCACTGTTCTTCTGGGAAGATTCCTGAGACATGCATAGCGGGCAAAAATCTTACAAGAAGACATTCCAGTTCATTACAGGAGCATCTTCTTGTAAGATTTTCAGCTACACGGCATCCCCCGGGTGTGTGCATGGTCCGGGAACAACCAAGAGGCCCCCACTGAGGTAGCGCCACATATATTTGTCTTTATGTAATTGAATTCTCCCTCTACTTACAGCTGATTTATGAATCTTCCTTCCAGCCACGCCAGTGTTAATTACCTTAGTAAAGAGCAATAGCCGAAAGACAGCTACAGCGCAGCTCTCTTGTTCTGGGAGGGCGTCCATGGACGTGCATGGAGAGCTCGCTGTGGATGCAATGTCCTTAGCACATCACTGCAGCCCCATCAGTGTCCATCAGAGCAGCCTCATCAGTGCCCATCAGTGAAGAAGAAAAATTACTTATATGCAAACTTTTATAACAGAAACTAAGAAAAACATTTTGGTTTTTTTTTTCAAACGTTTTGGTCCTTTTTGTTTGTTTAGTAAAAAAAAATAAAAATACCACCAAAAGAAAGCTCTATCTGTTTCAAAAAAATTATAAAAATGTCATTTGGTTACAGTGTTGAATGACTGCGCAATTGTCATTCAAAGTGTGACAGCTCTGAAAGCTGAAAATTGGTCTGGGCAGGAAGGAGGTGAAAGTGCCAGTATATCAAGAAATGATAAAAATTTCATAGGGAGAAAAGTGTTGCATGACAGTGCAATTGTCATTCAAAGTGTGAATCTCTGAAAGCTGAAAATTGGCCTGGGCAAGAAGGAGGTGAAAATGCCAGTATGTAAAAAAATGATAAAATTGTCATATGAGTACAGTGTTGCATGACAGTGCAATTGTAATTCAAAGTGTGACAGCTCTGAAAGCTGAAAATAGGTCTGGGCAGGAAGGAGGTGAAAGTGTCGGTATATCAAAAAATTGTAAATATTTGATATGGGTACAGTGTTGCATGACAGTGAAATTGTCATTCAGAGTGTGACAGCTCTGAAAGCTGAAAATTGGCCTGGGCAAGAAGGAGGTGAAAGTGTCAGTATGTAAAAAAAATGATAAAAATGTCATATGGGTACAGTGTTGCATGACAGTGCAATTGTCATTCAAAGTGTGACAGCTCTGAAAGCTGAAAATTGGTCTGGGCAGGAAGGAGGTGAAAGTGCCAGTATATAAAAAAAATTATAAACATTTCATATGGGTACAGTGTTGCATGACAGTGCAATTGTCATTCAAAGTGTGACAGCTCTGAAAGCTGAAAATTGGTCTGGGCAGGAAGGAGGTGAAAGTGCCAGTATATAAAAAAAATTATAAACATTTCATATGGGTACAGTGTTGCATGACAGTGCAATTGTCATTCAAAGTGTGACAGCTCTGAAAGCTGAAAATTGGTCTGGGCAGGAAGGAGGTGAAAGTGCCAGTATATAAAAAAAATTATAAACATTTCATATGGGTACAGTGTTGCATGACAGTGCAATTGTCATTCAAAGTGTGACAGCTTTGAAAGCTGAAAATTGGCCTGGCCAGGAAGGGGGTGAAAGTGCCCGATATTGAAGTGGTTAAAAAAATGTGCTGTTGCAACTTGTGCTTCCACAGTGTTTGGCATGCTAAAGACTTCCCATTTCTAGTTGTAATTCTCTGTTTTATTCATCAACATATTTGTTTTTTTTCTTTTGGTGATACTGTGTTTTCCCCATAGAAAGCCATCTTGGCAGTGAAAGGGTGAGCTCGCTCTCTCTGCATGGATAGATGAACACAATGCTGCTACCATTACAGAGCACACACACATATCTGTCAACAGACGAAGGGGTAACAGACACAATGAAAGAGAGGTTTGGTGTGCCAGGCTCATGCCGTGTTAATCATCTGTAAGTGTGCTTAACATCTTTCTTTCGAGCCCGCTGAGAATGGCAGCGCTCAATGCTGCTCTGAGATCTGCGTTTGGAAGGAAGGCAGGGAAGCAATTATAACACAAGAGCGAGATCAGTTATAGCGTATAAGTGGCATGGCTCTTTATTCTCTTGTATGTAGTCATTATATAGTGTACCTGTACTGAGAACTAAAAGCATTAAGACTCTGTGACTAAATCTAAACAGGGTTCCCACATTCAGCATTCACTCATACGGAGGTAATTCAAGTTCTGCGCACATGGTTCATACAATGGCGGATGGTTGGCTGTCTCCCACTGAGACTGCTAGAGGCTCAAACAGCAGGTACTACCAGGTACAAGAAAGGATCAGAGTCAGGAATTATGGAAAGGAGATCTTGCCGTTGCAATATCCAAGAAATAAAAGAAGCCGTGGATTTACACTAGCCCACCAGCTTACAACTTTCAGTAAATGTCACTCTTGGCTGGGTTCATTCTTTAAAGAAGAATTCCAGGTGTGGATATTTTATACATAGGTACATTGGTTCAGCTTGGATCAATGTACCTACAGTATGTATTATCTGTACCTGCCAGATGCCCATTGAAGCTGGAAATCACTGAAGTACATTTAGATGGAAGAAAAAGTATGTGAACCCCTTGGGATTACGTGGAGTTTTGCATGAATTGGGCATAAAATGTGCTCTGAACGTCATCTAAGTCACAACAATAGAAGAACACAGTCTGCTGAACATAATACTACACAAACATTACATGTTGCCATGGTTTAATTGCACATAACATGTAAACATTCACAGTGCAGGGAGGAAAAAGTATGTGAACCTTTGGACTTAATAACTGGTTGATCCTCCTTTGGCAGCAATAACCTCAACCAAACGTTTCCTGTAGTTGCAGATCAGACCAGCACAACGATCTGAAGTCATTTTGGACCACTCCTCTTCGCCTAGGGAGAGTAGCAACAGTGCTAAACTTTCTCCATTTGTAGACAGTCTGTCTTACCGTGGACACATGAACATCAAGGCTTTTGGAGATACTTTTGTAACCCTTTCCAGCTTCATGCAAGTCAACAATTCTTGATCGTAGGTCTTCTGAGAGCTCTTTTCTGCGAGGCATGGTTCACATCAGACACTGCTTCTTGAAACCAGTAAACCCAAAACAGGTGTGTGTTTTTTTAAGGGCAGGACAGCTGTCAGCAACACATCCAATGTCATCACACTGATTGGAGTCAAGGTTGGCTCACTCCTGGCTCCAATTAGCTCTGGGAGAAGTCATTAAGCTAGGGCCTCACATACTTTTTCCTCCCTGCACTGTGAATGTTTACATGTTATGTGCAATTAAACCATGGCAACATCTAATGTTTGTGTAGTATTATGTTCAGCAGACTGTGTTCTTCTATTGTTGTGACTTAGATGACGTTCAGAGCACATTTTATGCCCAATTCATGCAAAACTCCACGTAATCCCAAGGGGTTCACATACTTTTTCTTGCAATTGGACAACTACTCCAGTGGTCTCCTCTTGCTTCTGGGTTCTAAGTTAAGTTGCCCTGCTGCATTCTGAACACAAGAAGTCAGCCGCTTGACACTGGTGCCATTCAGAGAATGCTTTGTATCTTCTGAATGAATGCAAAGCATTCTCTGATTGGACAAGTGGAGAAGTGAGGCAGGGATGTCACACTCTCCCCCTCGTCCAATCAGAGAATGCCTAGCGGTAGACCTCCTGTACTCAGCAGGGAAGCCGCAAGGTTCAGAAACCAGATTCAAGTGGAAATTATTGGAGTGGGGATGTCTACTTCAATGATATCAAGCTTCCAGATGCCTCAACCAGGTATGGTATATGCCTAGTTACATTGGTCCAAGTTGGACCGTTGTAACTAGGTATAACACAGGGGTGGACTGACCATTTGGAAACTCATGGGGCCCCTGGGCAATAGGGGATCATGGGGCCCCTGTGTCCCTGCCCAAACTCAAAAAAGCCTATGAAAAAGGTACCAGGGACATCTCATGGGGCCCCCTACTGACCCCGGGCCCTCAGGCAGTACCCGAGTTTCCAAATAGTCAGTCCACCCCTGCCCCTGGTACCTTTTTCATAGGCTTTTTTGAGTTTGGGCAAGGACACAGGGGCCCCATGATCCCCTATTGCCCAGGGGCCCAGTCCGCCCCTGATATAAAATATCCATGCATGGAATTCATTAGGGAAGCAGTGATACCGATACCGAGTATTTTCATGAGTACTCGTACTGCCGCTGACCAGTCAGATGCCATCTAGCCCGAACTGTCACTGCTGCAAGGAGAGGAAAGAAAGTGGTGGGGATTTCAAATCCACTTTCTCTCCTCGCCTGCCACTGACACTCAGCATGGGATGCCTATGACAAGTCTGGGTTCACACAGTATCCTTGCACAGCACAGCCCTGTCCTTTCTGGAAGTGGCTGATTTCTCTCTGTGCTGACCCAGCTCCTCTACCCCTTCATTCACATTTCTTCATAACCTTGTTTGTAACTGCCAGGGAAGGAGTGAAGGGGAACTCTATAGAGTGGCAGCTCTGAGTCTGTTGGGGCTGATGGCATAGTGGTGCCCAGCAACAGTCTCTAGTCTTTTGAATGTCTACACAAGGGAGGCATTTAGGGCTTGTTTACACTAGCATTTGGGGGTTTAGCTGCATTTTACCCCTCGATCGCTCCCCTCCCCTTTGCCGTTGAGGCAGGGACCAGGGGTAAACACATGTCATGGTTGCGATGCTTAGGTAAGACCTAATTTGGGACTATAGTGTGTGCTGCTCCTGTAAGGATTTTTGTTTTCGCTAAGAAGTTTGTTCTCTGATTAATTGTTCATTCCATTTTGGAGTATCATGTGACCCTAAACCCCTCTTCTTTTCGAGTTCTTCAGCAAAGACATCCCCTAGACCGAGCCTGAATTGTTGATGTACGTGGAACTGTACTTGTGCCTTGCGGCCTCTGTCCCACTGTGGGAGAGCTGGGTATATTGTCAGTGGCCCCTTTGGGGATAAGCACTACACTCCTTACACTTCTAAAGACTGGAAAAACATCCTCTGTACTTCAATTAGCTGAAGTAGATTGCATTGGACTCAACTTCTGTGTTGAAGAGTTAAGCTGTCTGTGGATGGTGCCAAGTGAGCAAGTAACCATACTATTAGACTGGATCTAAAGAGGTATGTAAATGCATAAAAGAGCATTTGAAATGGAACAGGAGTGATCTCTCTTCCCGCCGTGCACTAGCATGCAGTTTCTCGATACAAATGTGCATGTTTGTTAAAGTGGAGCTTTAGGTCCTGATAGATCATTTCAGGCTGGCTTCATTTTCAGGAATAGGTACGTAAAACATTAAAAATAGGTGGCTATACTGATTAAAATCCAGTAATACACTGTCTCACCCTGCTCTGCACCTGCTCAGTTACTCTCTGTTTTTCGGCACTGTGCCAAAACTGCAGAGGTTGATCTCTGACAGCCTAAAGATTTACTGCTGCTCAGGGGCTCTGGGCTTCAGCAAAATTTTATCCTCCAGCAAGAAGAAAGGAGAATAATGTTGGAGGCAATTTACAGCACACACATATTTATTAATGTGGAATGTATGTTCCATGCTAGAGAACATTATTTTTGATCAGGTTGTTATGGGTAAAGTTCCACCTAAACAGTTGTTTGTACCATATGTATTATTGTATGTGTAGTAAGGTGCTCGGGTAAGACTAGAGTGAGAAAAACACTGGCTGCAGCTGCTGCTGAACTAGTCAAAATGATTCTAAAGGCTTTTTTTAAAAAAAAACAAAATAACAAACATTTCTATACTTACTTGCTGTGTGTAGTGGTTTTGCACAGAGCAGCCCGAACCCTCCTGTTCTTGGGTACCCCGCCGGCGTTCCTGGTCCCTCCCTTCAAGCAGCTTGCTAAAAGGGCACCTGCTGCTCCATGTGTCCATTCACACAAAGAGCCGCAGCTCTGCCTCACCCCCATTCTCTTCTCAGTGGCTCACTGGCTGTGATTGACAGCAGTAGGAGCCAATGGCTCTTCTTTCTGTCTCAGCCAGTGAGAAGAGGGAGTCCTGGGATAGCTGAGACTCCAGTGCACATCGCTGGATTGAGAGGGGGCTTAGGTGAGTATTAGGGGGGCTGAGAGGATGCTGCACAGAGAAAGTTTTTTACCTTCATGCATAGAATGCATGAAGGTTAAAAATCTTGAGTCTTTAGAACCTTCCCTCCAAGCAGCTTGCTATAAAGGCACCTGCTGCTCCGTGTGTCCATTCACACACAGAGCCACGGCTCGGCCTCACCCCCTCTCTCTTCTCATTGGCTCACTGGTTGTGACTGACAGCAGTAGGAGTCAATTGCTCCCTCTTCTGTCTCAGCCAATGAGAAGAGGGAGTCCCGGGAGAGCTAAGACTCCAGTGCACATCGCTGGATTGAGAAGGGGCTTAGGTGAGTATTAGGGGGGGTTGGGAGGATTCTGCATAGAATGCATGAAGGTAAAAAACCTTGAGTCTTTAGAACCACTTTAACAGCTCTATCAGTGAGAGGAGGGAGCTGCATAGCAGGAAGACTTCAATATACTGAGTCAGGCAGCATTGCACTGTGGGAAATGTAGTCCAGAGGAGAGAGACTCTACTGTAATCCATAGCTTTTGGACTGCGGTTTCCAGAGGGAGATTGCCAGGAGGAGGGGAAATAACTGCATTTTCTCAAGTTGTACAGGACACAGCTTCCTCTTGCCCTGAGGGGGACTGGAGAGTGCACGTTGCTGTCCAGTGTGCTACATCAATGCTGCATAATGGCAGCCAGAGCACGATCTGGAGTGCTGAGTTTGGTGTGCACACAGCCAGAGTCACCTGGGTACAGAGCAGAGAGTGGCCTAATTGCTGTGTGTGACCAGATGGTGAGCTGCCATATCACTGACTCTGGTGAGCTTCTGCTGTGGGGATTTACTATTTGCTGCTAGAGAGACTGAGCCTTTTAGGAACTAAACATACCGCCATCTAGTAGCCTTATTGCTGTGTGCAGGCTTGACTAGAACTTTTCTAATTTACACCAATGGTAAAACTGGGCCCCAACACTAGCCGGCTGAAGAGTTAGTACTGCCCTTTACAGCTGCTCCACAAAGACCTTCACCTCTCAGGGGATATTGCACCATAGCCTATCCTTCTCTCCTAAAGTGCACTCTAGATTAGGTATAGTATTATTATTCACATTGCAGGTAATGCTTATATTCACTGTTTATTGCTGACTATGCTGGTTTATGTGTTCATTCCAGTCTAGTAGTACAGAACTTGATTCTAAATTACCTTGGAATAGCAATTATACTGTGTCTCAAACCTACCTTCTGTGTATTTATTTATGCTCAAACCAGCATTTCTTCTGACCCGTAGCAGTACATTGAGTTCCTTTACCACAAAATAGTGTTTATCTCCTAGATTGTAAGCTCCCAGGATCAGGCCCTGAAATCCCTCTTGTATTGAACTGTATTGTTACTGTATTGTCTCCCGTTATATTATAAAGTGCTGAGCAAACTGTTGGCGCTATATAAATCCTGTATAATAATAATAATAATATTTCCTAGTGCTAACTCACAGGTATCTACACTCATGTTCTTAGAAGTGCTTGCAGTAACTTTCGCTCAAACAGGTGAGTCAGAAGGGCTGAGGCTGTTCTTGGAGTCCAGGCACAGAACAGAGAACCCAAATTACCAAGCGGCTCCTTCGAGGGTAGCACTACATATGGATCATAGATGTAAGAATGACCATCATCTGATGTCTACGGTTGGCCCTAGCATGTACAGTGTGGGAGATGTGTTTATTTATGATAGGTCCTGCTGAGTGCTTGTGTTTGTGTATGTGCTTGCCCTAGATTCTCTGCCCCTTATCTGGTATCCTAGCAGAGATCTGCATTCTGCCACTAATCAACTTCATTACCTGCGAGATAAACACACCATGACTATTCATCTTGCCCCTTCCAGCTCCATGTTGCTGGTTTGAAGCCTGTTAGCTGTAACTAATTTGTTTTCACTGCACCTAATGATAATCTCTATTCAAACAACTCAATGCACAGATGAAATTTATAGAGGAGAGCTGTTTTACCTGCCAAAAGGATTTGTATTTCTGTTGATGTAGTTCTGACATTTACACAGCTTTGACACACAGCACAGCCCTGTCTGGCAGAAAGGGGGAGACCTGATTTTTCTCTGCTGCAGGTATAGAATACTTACAGGCAAGGGCGGACTGACCATTCGAGCACTCGGGCACCGCTCGAGGGCCCGGGTCAGTAGGGGGCCCCACAGGGGCGGACTGACCATTTGGAGACTCGGGCACTGCCCGAGGGCCCGGGGTCAGTAGGGGGCCCCATGAGATGCCCCTGGTACCTTTTTCATAGGCTTTTTTGAGTTTGGGCAAGGACACAGGGGCCCCATGATCCCCTATTGCCCGGGGGCCCCATGAGTTGTCAGTCCGCCCCCTGACCAGGGGCATCTCATGGAGCCCCCTACTTATCCCAGGGCCCTTGGGCAGTGCCCGAGTTTCCAAATGGTCAGTCCGCCCCTGCCCCTGGTACCTTTTTCATAGGCTTTTTTGAGTTTGGGCAAGGACACAGGGGCCCCATGATCCCCTATTGCCCAGGGGCCCCATGAGTTTCCAAATGGTCAGTCCACCCCTGTGTTATACCTAGTTACAACGGTCCAACTTGGACCAATGTAACTAGGCATATACCATACCTGGTTGAGGCATCTGGAAGCTTGATATCATTGAAGTAGACATCCCCACTCCAATAATTTCCACTTGAATTGAGTTGTCAGTCCGCCCCTGTCAGGGGGATTCAATAAAATCATGCTGGCACTTTTCTGGTGGTAATTTCCATAAGAACTCCCTGCATCTAATTCAGGTAAGCATTACCGACACGTGGCAGATTCATGCAGTCCTTACTGCCGCCACATTACCCCCTCGCCCTCCTGAGGATTTCCCCCCCTTCCTGACCAGGCCGGTTTTTGCGTTACAGTGCTGCGTTACTTTAACTGACAATTGAGTGGTCATGCAACGCTGCAACCAACATTTACGTCTTTTTTTCCCACAAATTGAGCTTTTTTTTCGGTGGTATTTGATCGCCTGTGCGTTGTTTATTTTTTTTTGTGCTATAAGCAAAAAAAGCTATTAAACATCTCCAGTAAAAAATGTAAAAAATTAAATTTCGGCATAAATTTAGGCCAAAATGTATGTATTCTGCTACAACAAGGACACAGGGGCCCCATGATTCCCTATTGCCCGGGGGCCCCATGAGTTGTCAGTCCGCCCCTGGGGCCCCATGAGATGCCCCT